GAGAGAGAGAGAGAGAGAGAGAGAGAGAGAGAGAGAGAGAAAGAAAGAGAAAGAGAGAATGAGAGAAAGAGAGAAATTGGAGAAAATTTCAGGTCAAGATCCAATGTCAAATGCTAAGGTCTATGAGGATGTTTGAGGCTATAGGATATTTAAACAGCCTCAAAATATCATCTCCCCAAGATATTTTTAAAAGATTTATACCTTTATTTTTATTTTTTTAAGTGTGTGTATGTGGGTTTGTGTGTGTGAGTGCAGGTGCCAGAGAGGTTAGGGCCATCGGATTCCCTAGAACTGGAGTTATAGAGGTTGGGCGTACCCGTTGGCGGTGCTGGGAGTGGACCACCAGTCCTCTGGAGAAGCAATGTTTGCCTTTGACCACCACACCCTCTCCCCAGCCTCCCTCCACAAAACAGAATACTAATCCTAAGAGTTTATATTTTCTCTCTGGTACTGAGGACCAAACCTAGGGACTTATGAACAGCAGATAAATGTTATACCACTAAGTTACACCCATAGGCACACAACATTTTTTTTTCTAATTACCTTTCATGTGCTAAAAACCCACTTAACCAGTGATCACTTAACCAGTGATCAATGCTACATCACTAGCAAAAGGATATACAGGCGTGAGGTCCGTGGCCTCCATCAGAAAGCATCACACAATCAACACTGAATAAGTTGACAGAATGGCTGACCAATGTTTTTTCAAACAGGTCAAGTCAAGGAAAGGAACTTTTACAGACTAAAAAGAGCAAGGTAAGATGATGATTAAATATAATATGGCACCATAGACTTTTGTTGTGTTGTTGTTGTTGTTGTTGTTTTTTCAAGACAAGATTTCTATGTGTAGCCTTGGTTGTCCTGGGTTTGCTTTGTATACTAGGCTGGTCTCGAACTCACAGGCACCTACCTGCCTGCCTCTGCCTCCTTGAGTGCTGGGATTACAGGTGTGCACCACCCCACCTGGCTGGGATTGAAAAAAAAAAAAAAACTAGATAAAAAGTTGGTGAAACTCAAAGTTTATACTTAATAGTACTGTAATGCTGGTAATGTGGAGTTGCTTACAGTTCACATCTGTGCACATGTTGTGTGAGAATGAAGGTACCTATGTGGGCAAGCATGTGGAGGTTGTCATCAGATGTCTTCCTCCACCGCTCTTCACCTTATCTTTGGAGAGCGGATCTCTCACTGGGCACAGAGCTCCACAACTGGCTAGACCAGCTGGCTAGAGATCCCAGGGCTTCTGCTGTCTCTGTCCTAGCACGCCATCATGCTAAGGTCACAGATGTGCTTCATCACGCCTGCCTCTCATGGGGGTGAGTCAGGTATTTGAATTCACAGCCTAACACTTGCACAGAGGCAAGTTGCCAACTAAGCCTGAGCCATCTTCTTAGCACTAATATTCCTTTTTTTTTTTTTTGTTTGATTGTTGGATAGTGTGCATTGCTAAGGATGATGAAAATAGAGGAACCTGGGTGAAGACTATGTCAGAACTCCGTGTGCTATAATTTTCAAAGTTCTCTAAGCTTCAAACTGAAAAATCCAAAGTTGAAAAAAAAAACAGTCAGGACCATGCAGATAAAAGAGGAGAAGATGCAGGGAAGAAGAAGAAAGGCACGTTTGCAATTTTCTGAGGGCCAACAAAACATATGGGGCGGGGGAGTTCCCACTAGAGTTAATAGAGTTGAATTCTCTAGAGTAGTAATACATTGTTTCTAAGTCTTTCTGAGAGACACTTTAAGTTCAAGGTGTTGAGCTGATATCTGTGACAAGATAGACACACCATCACTAACGGAGGTGGTCTGCTGGTCTCACCCTGCGCTCAGCATCCTGGTGAGCCTGCAGGGGGTCTCTGACATAGCCACATTCCCAGTGACTCAGGATCCCTCAGTCCCCCTCTGTCAGAAGCTGTCTGGCAGGAGGATTCTAATTGTGCAGCTTTAAACAAGTCAATAAGATGGCAGTTTGAGCAGGTCATGGTGACGCAACTCGCCTTGATCCCCAGTACTCAGGAGGCAGAGGCAGGCAGATCTCCTCGAGTTTGAGGCCAGCCTAACCTACAAATCAAGTTTCAGGACAGCCAAGGTTACGCCAAGAAACCCCATCTCGAAAAAGCACCCCCCCAAAAAAAATTTGCAGTTTATATTCTAATGTGAAGTGTTCTTTAAAGAGTGAAACACATTATGGATGCTAATTTTAATTTCCCTGTCCTAGTACAATTAAACATATGGCATTTTTAGTGTTACAAAAAAATTCACAAAGCACAAATTTCCAGAAACAGTTTCAGTAAAGCAATCCCCCACACTTAAAAAAACAAACAAACAACAAAAAACATATTTTTCCACATTTAACTGTGCAGTCGGATGTTTGACATGTGTTTCTTTTCTGTAGTGTCCTTAGCAATGTGAGCCCAGCCTGGCCATAAAAACAGAAGGCTATTGATCACTAGTCAGTGTAAAACACAGCTCTCTGGGCATCTCACTTGGAACTTGCTTTTTAACTTGTTTCAAGAGGTGGGGCTTAGAACTGAAGAGAGTGTTGTATGCCTGAATGAGCACACTGGAACACCAGGCCGGACCAGGGTTTGGGCACCCGCTTAAGTGTGCAACTGCCTTTTTACCTAATTAATCCTCTCCTCGTAGGGCCCGTGCCCGTGAGCCACGCATTCTGCTGGGAACTGGAACTCTGGGTCCTGCAGAACCTGCGGGCTTGGAGTGTTATTTGTTCAGGGCCCTTGAAGCAATAGTATCTAATGGGGCAGAAGCAAAGAGAAAATGACCCAACCTTCGGTGAGAACAGTTGCTTTCCATCACATCTTTAGCCTTGTCACAGTCCCCTGCTTAGAAACCTTGCAGGCCCCCCTTCTGGAAAGACTCCAAACTCTTTTTGTGCCAACTTGGGTTTCTTTCTCCACAGACTCCCTCTCACAGCCACCCACCCCCACCCTCACCTCCACCCCCAGATCTTGAGGCCTGCCTGTGTTTCCAAAAGTGCTGTCTGTGGGCTACCTGCAGCAAAACAGTTTGGCAGCACGATACAAGATGCAGATGCCCTTGCTCCAGCCCAGGCTCTGGAGCCCAGAGTTGGAATGTCTGTATGAAGAGAACCCAGAAACCTGTGTGAAAAGGGGGCTCTGACCTCACCACACTGAACAAATCTCTTTTCCTGGAAGGCAGTGTGCTTTGGTCCTTTCCACAAACTCACTGATCTTCCTTTCTTGAGTACAGCTCTTAGGGAATTTTCTTGTGCCTCTTCTGATCGTTCTTGATCAACGAAATTGACTGAGCATCTAGGAGATATTAGGAGCAGCTTACAAAGGGACCATAGACACGAACCGGATGCCATCTTTGTCCACATGATGCTCACGTATGTGGACTCTGTCTCTACGGTCTCGAATGGCAGACTATGAGAGCTGTAGCACTAGGGAGCCTACCAGTTCACACGAGGGCTGTCTGTGGCCCAAAGACATCAACGTGCCTTTAGGACTGGAATCTGTCATATCCAGGAGAGGAGTCCCCTCTTCCCCACAGAGGGACATGCAGTGTTTTTCTACTGGGTTCCATGTGGACAGATGGTTTGTAAGGCTAAAAAGCTTGGGAAGAGTTGTCTCTGAAGATGCCTGCCGCAACCTAGATTGTCTTAGGGGAAACTGAGCATGCAGCTAGGTCCATGGCACCCTCCAGCGGGTTATAGCAAGGGACCGGTTCCTGATAGGCCCTCGACAAACGTATATGCAGTGAAAACTTACAGACATTAAAATAAAAGAAATATTTACCTCCCTTGACAGTGTTACCATCTCAGATTCTCCTTTGATATGGAATGCCCCTCATACCCTGGATCCTTCTTTTGGGCCCTTTTTGACTTTCCATTTCAAATTTTCTTTGTTTCAATGTGTTCAAGCTATATTTCCTTTAGCTTTGCAAATTAGCTTGCTGATATCATTCAGTCCTTTCAGTGTTGCTTATTTCTCTTCTCACTTTATTCTTCTCCTCTGCTCATTCTCTTGGCTGCTGCCTCCCTTCCTGTGGCCCACATCCTGAGCATAAATGCAGTCAGGGCCAATCTAGCAGGGAAAGCGGGGCATCTGTGAGTCAGGACAGATGACCTAAGGCATGCAGGCAGTGGGAACAGGCAGCTCTCCTGCTCTGTCAGGCATCCTCAGAGACACTGAAGAGAAACCTTCACTAACCCCTCTCCTTGCTCCAGGCCCCACAGTGGAATCACACCTAAAAACCCAAGAGAACAAAAAGGATGGAACTAGAAGTTCCTTTCCTCTACTGACAGTACACACAAGAGACATCCTCCGAGCTCTAATTCCCCAGCTCTTTACCTGGATGTGAGTGGACAAAGTACACGAAAGCTTGAGGTTGGTGGAAGAACTCTGTGAGGCATCTTGGGAGAATTTTGTAACCTCCTGGCTTAATAAGAGAAAGTTAGCTAAAAGCAAAAAAAGTTCCCTACAGGACAATATCCAGAATGTATGTGGATGCACACACATGTGACTAAACATGTATGCGTACATATGCACATGTGTGTAGCTGCTATTTCCCCTCCAAGAACATTAACAAAGACATGTTGAACTCATGAGGTCTGTATGTATGCAGGACAAGAAATGTTACTTGGCCTTTTCTTAGTTAATGAGGCCCTACAAAATTACCCTAGTTTGACCTAATTGATCAAGTAAGTAAAGATTGCCATACCTGATGTAGAGGAGACAAAGAGATCAGGCAATTCTCAATATTTATTCACCTCTGCTGATTTGGTTCTATGGAACTTCACCTTAGATCCACCCTCCAACATGCATGCCTCCAAGGATCATTGCTTGACTCTTTGAGCTGCCATCATTTATCCCACCTGAGCTGTCTCTGCCCTCTTCTCTTTTCTATTTTCTTTTCCTCTCTCCTCCTTTGC